CGCCCCGCCCCGCCCCGCCCCGCACACGCGGCGCGCCCATACGGCGCCCAGCAGGACGCCCACCTCTGATATTACAAAACTTTACTCACCTTCCGGAACGTCACACTTGGGAGAGATAGAGCGAGAGAGTGACGGCGCGGACGCCCCTAACCGCCAGGAGAGAGGCGGGGAAGGACTCCCGCGCCAACAAAACGGACCCAACGATTTAAAGCAAAGAGAAAATAAGTGACGGCAATGTGAAAATGCTCTACACAGAAAAATAAGTTTCTTGAATCAAGTAAATCTAGATTGGGCCCAGCAGGGCGCGGCTTGAATCGCGCAAGAGCATTCCTTTGTCTCAATGCAGCTTTACTTTGATTCAAGCAAATAATTTTGCTATCCGCTATCAGGATGACCTTGAATCTCTGCAACGAAAGGCTATTGTCAAAACTCTCTTTAGTTTTCAGGATTAATGCGCGTTATAGGGTGTTGTTTTTCTGAAAGAGGAAAACACAACACGAATCGAACAGTAAGCCCACCGCTATCGCTCTGGTGGAGAGCGAGACTTCAGTTGCGCCCTTTAGGCGAGGCGCACCCCTCTATGATCCGCAGTGGCCACTCGAGCCCCAAAGTGGATCGGCCTCCGGAGGTGAGGCGACCCGCGGGCTGCCGGGGTGGCTCAGGGGGGGGGAGGCCTGCGACCGCGAGCATTACCTGCCAAATCGCTGCCTCGGCCGCGCGCCGCCGCCACCTCGGGGATCCTCGGCTTCATCTTTTATTCATCCGAAGCGCCCCGCCCCGCCCCGCCCCGCAAAGCATTCTGTTACTGCTGCCATAATCTGTTTTCCCTTGACCTGAGGCGGCCCCCCCGGATACAGGCACCGCGCGCTCACCGACCAGCAGCCGCCCTTCACAAAACTTTATTCGTCGAAACTCCTCAACTTTCACCTCGCTGTTTCTGTCTCTCTCTCTCTCTCTCTCTCTCTCCTCGCCCGGTGAAAGGCGGCAAGGGGCCGGCGCGGAGGCCAAGATTCGCGCCGAACAGATGGGCAGCGAGCTACCGTGCTGGAAACCAACTAGTAGAGAGAGAGGGGGGGGGGCAAGCAAGCAAGGAAAACTCGTACCTCTGCGAGTACAGTTACTTTTTTATTGAACGTACTTTTCCGTATTCATGGGTGCTCATGTGAGTACAGTAGTCATGAGAACACTCTTATTCAAGGAGTGTGGTGTGACGACACATTCCTTGAATAACACTGAACAGGAAAATGGTTGACCTTCCGCCTCCTAGCACTCGGTCCTCGCGCCCAGCTATCGCGCGACCCAGCACCTAATCGCAATGTAGCAGGCATGTTGCGGAGCGCGTCGCCAGTCGCACGCTGCCGCCGAGACGGACTGGACCGCGGACCACCCGGACCCGAACTCCACAGCTCCTCCAAGGTACAACGCTAAGTGAGAGTTGGAAAGCACCGGCAAGACAAGTGCCGCATGCCATGAGGAGATTTAGCCTGTAAATTTAACAACCCGCAATAAGTGTTTGATCGAACGTCCCAGCTACAAAGTGAATGTGCATCCGCGTGCTCGGGCACTTGGGATGCTAAAGAAGCCTCCCCCAGGTTGTGACCCCCTGTCTCGCGCTCCTCCCGCAGATGGTGCAGTACGCGCTGCTGATGCTACTGCTGCCGCTGGCCGTGGTGGCCTCTTGCCCGTGCCCGCCCGCACCAGACGCCTCCGCCAAGGTGTGCGGCTCCAACCACCACACGTACGACAGCACCTGCCACCTCGAGTGCGCCAAAGTACCCGGTAAGTACATTATTACAAATATTTCACAATGTTGAACAACAGGTCTCGTACACGTACTATGTTATAACACAGTTAAAAACAAAACAACAACAATAACAACCCTCAGCTAAGGTCTCATAGCGCCTAGTAGGTAGGCAACATTTTGCCGCTAGTTCACGCGTGCACTGCGGGGTGGCCCACCTTGAGAGTCGCAGGCGCCGAGCTCTCGTCTCACTGTGGAAAATAGTCGTAGAGAGATATCCCCCAATGCTGACGTCACAAAGCTCACTGAGTGGCAAACCGCGCGAGATTCTAAATGCGGGCCCGGGGAAAATGTTGAAAAAGACGAAATATAATGATAGATCGCAGTTAAAGAGATATATGGCGACAACATTTTCAGAATCATTAAATTGGATCCATATGCTTTTTTAACTGGTTTCAGTAAAGAATGGTCTAACCTAACCTCTGACGCCGTGTGTCATTGTTTGGTACACAGTGTCAACTTTTTATATTTTTGGGGAGTGTCATGCTCAAAAATCGTTCGGAGCTGTGAGTTTTGTAGTCAGTGATAAAGTGAGCAGTCTTTGGGTCCGTAAAGTAGGCGAAGTGTGCCTAATTAGGGCCAACTTTTCATAATTTGCCACTCTTTTGCCACTCGCATAGGGGTTGTTGCTGACCCAGGAAGGCGGTGCTAGAGTCACGTGACCATTGGAGGATCCCTAGACGGTAGTAGGTTTACGGGAAATTTCTCCATTACGTGTAGCGCAGTGTTCAAACTCTTTTCGATGTCCGCGTCGCGGACTTATTACACGGCGCGGATAACCGCGGACTTTCGTGGTTGCATATCTCTCACTTGCCAGATCTCCCAAACTATTGGTCGTGGCGAAATAACACAACAGGATTTTTGAATCATCCGCCAGATATTAGCCTTACCATAACCCCAATCTTTGCGTCACATACCATTAAATAAGTTCTCATAATTTTACTTACAAAAAAGAAAATAAAGTTCTATAATTAACTTCATACTAGCGTTTCAAGCTGTCAATGGACAAGAGTACCATGTGTTGTGGATTATGAAAGAAAACAAGACCTTATTGACACAACACTAATTGTAATATTCGTCATCACCAGCAAGAAGTAGATGCGAGTTGCGGCGTTGGTAATGAACGAGTAAAAATCAAAGACGCAGATAAGAGTTACTTTACAAATGCATGTTACTGCATGGATTCTGTATAAGACCGGTTCCATATGCCGTTTTCGTCCAGGTCTCACGGTGTCCCACTCGGGGCCGTGCAGCGCGTTGGACATGGCCAGGAGGCTCCTGACGGCCAACGGCACCCACCCCCGGCGCCGGCCAGCACGCTCGGCCTCGGAGGACTACAAGAAGTACAAGGAGTGCGACAGAAACGTGAGTCTCTGAGCATTGCCTCACACTGATTTAAAAGGGAATCCAGTTTGTGTGAACCATTTCCACAACAAACCCACATACTCAAGCGCCAGCACCGCACACCATGCAGAGCGAGGAGAGGGAAGCGGACGGGAGGAGGAATAATTTGTCCTCTGGAAGAGACAGGTCTCGAAACAATACGTTTAATACTTTTTCTGTTCATCCGCGTGTAGCAGTGCGGACGGCCTAGCTGCGGGTGCCAAGCTGACGAGTGGGATTGCAATCGCATGTGCTACTACAACTGCCGCTGCTCCTCTTGCCTCGGGATCCCCGGCGGCGACCTGGACTCCGGCGACAAGTGGAGCTCGTGCGTCAAGGAGAGGGGCTGCTTGAGGACATGGCACGAGTGCTGGGACAGCTGTACGACACGGGACTGCGCAGACGCGTGCGAGTTGGACCGCCCGAAGTGCGAGTGCGGGTGCATGGAAGTGGCCCGCGGCAACGCCAGCGAGGAGCCTGTCGACAACGACCCGTATGGAAACCTGGAGCTGAGTGCCGTCTTATGTTGGTATTTTGCTGAAGCTCGGAGCGAGTGGGCCGCGAGACGGGCGCAAGGTGTGCATGAGTCCAGCGTCAGACCCGCGGCAGGGCCCTGCAAGACGGGCGTGACCTGTGGCGACGGTCTGGTCTGCGCCGTGTGCCGGGCTGCCGCTGGGCTGCCACCCGACGGGCGCCGACCTGGGCACCGTCTTGCTCCCGTCTGAAAACTGATCGTTTTCCAGACCGGAGCAAGACGACTGCTACCCCCGTGCCCGCGGGGCGGCGTTATGAGAAATCGCGCGGTCAGCTTCTCTAGTCTGATATCGGTCTTGTCGTCAAGACCAAGCCACGGGTCCCTGGGCGGCGCACGGCTGACGGCTGACCCGCTCGGTCTTCACGTGAAGACGCGGAAAAGACCACAGCCATGCAGTTTGAAAAAATCAAAATATGATGGGCGGCCAGGCGGGAGCGAACTGCTTCCAACACCAGTCTCCCGCTTGCGAGTCCGATGCTGTATCCACTGGGCCAGAGTGAACACGCAGAGAGCGGCGGCTGGCGCGCCGACACATGCGGCCGCCGATGACCGGCGCGTAGAAGTCGCGTAGCGTCCAGCGAGTGTCTGTGTCCGTGTGGGTGACATTCTACAGAACGGTACGTTGGGCGTTGGGTTACTGATTGCTGTCGCCATAAAATAGGGCCGATTCCATGTTCCCCTTCTGTTCTATCATACGCTCGCTAAAGCAGACTATTAGTCAGTCTGGGAGTTTGTTTTAGCGAGGCTATAGTAGAACAGTAGTAGAATTATGTAGAATCGGCCCTTCGGGTGGCAGCCCAGCGGCAGCCCGGCACACGGCGCAGACCAGACCGTCGCCACAGGTCACGCCCGTCTTGCAGGGCCCTGCCGCGGGTCTGACGCTGGACTCATGCACACCTTGCGCCCGTCTCGCGGCCCACTCGCTCCGAGCTTCAGCAAAATACCAACATAAGACGGCACTCAGCTCCAGGTTTCCATACGGGGAGGAGCCGAGCGCGTCCCCAGCGCTGCGGCCCGCGCTCGGCGTGGACATCGCGATCAACCAGCCCCCGGCGCCACCCGGGACCGGCCCGCTCAGCCTCAAGTGCTCATGCGAGTGGGTGTGAGCGCGAAGGACTTGCAGAGCCAAGGTTATTGAGGAATAAATAAAGACAAGCTTCAACGCAAAGTGTCTTTTTATCCCTAACGTTCGTTTACAAAAGGCACCAAACTGCTTCGCGGCACTGGCAGCATACAAGCACCTTCACTTTCGGCCACAACTCCGAAATTTCTAGTTATTGAAAGTCATTCAAAATTTGATTACACATTACTTATCAGTGAATGTAAAGTACACAAAACGATACATCACTATGGTGGATATTATTAGATGTAGCTGAATACATAGTGATACTAGTTAAAATCAACGGAATAATATAATAATACTCCGAGGGGGCAATAACTTCGGGAATCATGTGTACACCTGCCTGGGAATCACTGGATAAAAATCAGTCAAAATCAACAGAAATCGCTTAAATAAGCGGGAAACTAGTGGAATTCGTACAAATTAGTCAAAATAACGTAAAAATTAGGCGAAATAAGCGTTTCCTACTACAAGAAAACCTAAGGAATGAACATAAGAGGACGGGAATCACTGGGAATCAAGGTTTTCGGGAATCATGTGTACACATTTAAAGGTAGTTATTGCCCCCTCGTAATACTCATTTTGGCTTCAATTGTAAATATACAAGGGTGTGTACAGTACCCGTAGCCTTCACACAATTTGTCCCTTGTCCAGTTTCAGGAACAAAGTTGTCTTTGAGTACGGCACGGTCCCAGTGCAAATCATTTCCGGTCGCCGCTACATGCGCGCGAACAATCGCACTTTCCACGTCCCGGTCCGGCACGGCGGCCAGCTCCGAGGCCGCGGGTGCTAATCAGAGACGGGCGCGCTGGATAAGGGGTCGCTGCGCAACAGAGAGGTACTCGGTATCAGCCGGCTGCGCACAACATACGGAGTAAGTACTATGTAAGTGTACCCTCGGCAGATGAATGGAATATAGCTCTCCTCTGAACACGACTGTCTCAGCACATGTCTCCATCCTATCGAGGCGAGACATGAGATGTTAAAACTGAACGATAAACGAGCAAACTATAGAAAGTTCGGTGATTTGGGTTCTTGGTCTGCGACACGGCTGGGTGAGAGCAACAGCAACGTAGCAGCGTGTGTGAAACCGGAGAGAGGGGGGTGGGGGGAGGGGAAGGGGAGGGAAGTAGAGTGAGAGAGGGTGAGAGAGAGGGTGAGAGGGAGAGGGAGAGAGAGAGAGAGTAGAAGATGGAAGCGGGAAGCAACAGCTTGCACAATTCGCTGAACTTCCCCCGCACCCATAAAGGTGGCAGTCTCGTGTCTCTGGCGCTCCCCATACTCGAAATAACCGCCATCTCTGCAACATCACCCCCCCCCCCCCCCCTCCCCGCGGCCATCACCTTTCACAAATAATAAAAACACACCAACAAAGTAAGCGGCGGAAGCAGCATGACCGTGCACAGCGGGATGCTTCCCTCCGCAGCCAGACCTGAGCCAGATCAGCCTGCCGGCAACACTAACGCCCCACCTCTCCCCGAGGCAGCCTCTCACCTACAAGTTTCCCCGCGACACCACGCAGGCCTCGCTCCGTCCCGAGAGAGAGAGAGAGAGAGAGAGAGAGAGAGAGAGAGAGAGAGGAGGGA